TGGCTGGGATGAGAAGTGGGGTGGGAAGCGGGCAAGAGCCTTGGAGAGCAGCTGTGATGACTTCCAGCTGGATGGCTTGTATGCGTTTCCCTGTATTCTTCTCTTGCATATTGTTATCACAGCGCCCGCTCCTAGTAGGCTCACAGACGTGGTCACGCAGGCTGAGTGTCCTTTCCTGGGGCCTGTGGGTGAAAACCAAAGTGGGAGGGTGGGTAGCAACCTATTGCGTTGGTAGGTGACCCCTGTCCCCCCCAACCCCCAGAGATACAAATCAGAAAGCCCGAGATATGGTATTGGTTTTCAGATTCTGTCTTACTAAAATCAAAACAAAGCGTTCAAAAATCAATAGGAAAATGTTGGATCATGTTCAGAATTCAGCAAGGTGCCAAATGGGTCAACCCACCCACTGTGTGGCCTGCATTGTTTTTAAACCCCCTTTATCAGAAGTGCACTAACAGATCTCTTAGCGGTCAACACAGCTTCTTTTGTATCGCGCGTGCGTGTGTGTGTGTGTGTGTGTGTGTGTGTGTGTGTGTGTGTTTCTTTAATAATTACAGCAGTCAACACCACCCCCATCTCTTAAAAAACAACAATACAGAGGTCCCCTTGGCCACAACCACTTTAGAACTTTCCTTTTAAAATGAAAAGATGGTGGGCCCACTGTGACATCAGCTCTTAGAGCAGATGTGAAAATGTGATCATGATGGCTGGTCGATGCCTATCTGGATGTGAAACACACTGACAGCCCACTGGGTGTGCTCAGCACTGGGGCTCTCTCTCCACAAAGTTATCCCCTGAAAGTTTTTTGGCTTCAAGATGGGACTTGGGACCTAATGGCTTTCAGAACCTGAGGCCTCCCAGTGGCCCGAAGACCCATTAGTTATTTGTGGCTTAGCTTTCGCTTGAACATCTACCCTGGGTGCCGCGAGGGCATCAGAGCCGGCAGAGAGAGGGCAGGTGAGGGCAGGAACACCTTGGCATCTGTCTATAAGGCTGCTCTTGACATTATTTTCTGAAGGAAAAACCAGGGTATGTAAGGCTTATTGATTAGCCTCTAGTGATTCAGTGGGTCCGCAGGGAAGAGGGAATAAAACGAGTTTCCTGGCATCACTTGCCACACACACAGCCCCTTACCTTGCACTGCCTAGACTGGACTGAAAGCCAAGAATCCATCTCAGGGAAACATATGAAGGGTGTTTCTGAAACCGCAGAAGCATTGAGAAAGTCATAAAGATGTATAATATATGATAGCATTTCCCAGTTATAAATAGGGAGATGCAGAGAGAAAAATAGAGACCTTGTAAGTCCATTGGGCCAGGAGAAATAGAAACTGCTTAATATTTCATTAAAAATGGATTTTCATAAATTGCACTTTGATATCTTTGGGCGAAAGACAACATGTAAGGACCAAGGCGTTGTGATTCATTACTCTCTGCTATTAATAATTTGAATTGTTATTGAACCAACTCAACAACCAGGTGCATTCTCCTTAAGAGTGGAATGCTTGCCGAGTGTCCTGGGCACTGTCTGAAGTGTAGAAAAATCCACAGCACTTGTCTTTAAAAGCACTTAGACTATAAGGGACAGCGTGTCCCCGAAATGCCCCGATTACTAAGTGGATGCTCTTGGGGCAGTTTGAACGGTGAGCTAAGAAAGCCTTAGAATCTGGGAAGGACCGAGAAATCAACTCAACAATCCCCTCATTTAGCAGGAGAGGAAATTGGGGCCCCAGGGGAGGTAGAGATCCTTGCCCACACTTACGAGCTCATTAGCAGCAGAGCCTGTGCCCTGGCTCCTTGTGCAGTGATGTTCTTGAGTTATTGGGCCTCCCCTCGGCCCACTCCACCACGCTCACAGGGAAAGAGAGAGGTGTGTGATAGGTTGACTAACGTGAGGGAGGTGCTGTCCCACCAGGGGTCCCCAGAGCAGAGGGCAGATATGAGCACAAGGCCAAGAGCACAGCAGAAACAAGGAAGGGGAGGTAGCCTGGGGGATGTGAAGAATAATTGGAAGCCTTGCTGAAAAGCACCGTCAGTTGATTCTGGGTGTGGGAGAAGGGTGAGTGCAGAGGAATGAATGGCAGAGCCCAGTTGGTTTGAGCGGCCAGGTCGTTGCCTAGGTAGATAATCCTGGAGGGGGTCTCCCTTCCGGAGTAGTGCCACCGCTGGCTGGCCAAGATCCAGGAAGCTCACCCGTGGCCCTAGGGGACACCACGTGCACACCCACATGCCCACGCGCAGACACGCTCCCTCGAAAGCCAGCGTTCTCCAAGTCTGTCCAAGGACGCAGTGGTTTCCTTACTGAGGGTGGAGAAGAAAGGGTTTATTGACAGCGTCTGCCAAGGCTGAGAAAGGAAGGGGTCAGATAAGATGAAGCTGGATATTAAAAACACATAAAACGTGCTGTGCTTCTAAACGGTATCCGCATGGTGTCTGTGCTGTGGGTTAGCAGCTGTGGTAAAAGTTCAGATCCTCTCAAAAGTCCAATTACGTATTCATGTGGCAAAGTCCGCCTCCCGCCCCGTATGAAGGAGCTTCTGCACCTCTCAGGATGGAGGCCACACGCACAGCCACCAACACCTTCCCCTGAGGAGCAGTCCGGTGGTGGGGCCTGCTGCTCACAGCACCCATCCTTCGAAAGCAATGTGCCGCGTTTGTCACTTCCCTGCCAACGGAGAAGAAATTATGCTGAATTCTGGGTGAACGGATTTCTCTCTTGTCCTCAGATACAGTTCCTCCTCCCTTGCCTCCTCGCAGCCCGAGGGAGCCGAACGATGGGGACCAGAAGGGCGTTCAGCTGGGCACCCTTCTCCGTGGTTGGGAAGTCACAGGGGGAGCTGAGCTCTGTGCCCGCCGGCCATCTCCCAGCCGTCACTTTTCATCTCTTTCCTTACACTGCCCGGCTGTTGCTGTGGGTCACGCTCATGAGGACCCCATGTGTACAGAGAAGAAACGACCCCCCTGGGGTGTGGCCCAGAAAATGAAGCAGATGACCAGGCCTGTCTTCTGAGGTGCCTCTGGGTGGGTTCCCTCTGCCAGCCTTTGAGCTAGTACGTAGACGCTTACCCATGGGCACCACCCACAGAACTCATCCATGGGACCCAACAGCTGTCCTGAGGGCCCTGTCTTCTCATCCTCAGCCACAGTGCAGGAGGCAGCAGAATAGCACCTGAGGGAAAAGGATGCTCAGTGGTCCTCCCGTGTCTTCCTGGTGGCCAGCAGAGCAGCAGAGAAGGGAACTGACCCCCAGGGCAGAAGAACTTCAGAAGGGGGGAGGGGAGGGAGCAGCCAACTGGGTGGAAGCTCCCAGATTCGATGGTTCACATCAGGGACAGAGAGCTTAACCTGCAAATGGTGGGGCCAGTGCAGACCTGTTTCTTCGGTCCTCTCCTCCGGTTGTCTTGAGCAAGCCACAATCCTCGCTTGACAGTCAAAGGTATGCAGTCTCGTAACCTCAGCGGTCCCTTATGAAGTGGCCCTAACACTTAACCTTAGCAATGGGAAAGGGGGAGGGTTCAAGGCTGCCAAATGGCAGAGTTCCTAGTTGCCCTTCATGGAGAAGAAAGGACGATGTTCTTGTTGGCTCTAAGCATCTGTGTTACTCTTTACTATTGCCCAAGGTCATTCTAAAGTGGGATTAGAAATTTACACCGGGAGAAAGCACCAGACCACTACTCTAGCTCCATGAGTCTGAGCCATCAATAAAAATACTGCCCATGCAAAAAGAGGGGTGAGGGTCAGCCTGAGAAACTTTACAAGCTGAAAGCCTACAGACACAGCAAGGGCCGTGGATTCAGGCAAACTCCTCAGAGCCTCGCGATTCTCATAATCAAATGGGGATAGTCAACCCTCGCAGGGTGCTATAGAGATGACTGCCTCCACACGGTGTGCTTCGCTATGCCGGCCTCCTCATTCTTGTCCTGGCCCTGCGGGTGTTCCACCAGCAAAGCATGGTCTGGGGGTCCTGAGCTGAAGCATTTACTTCCTCTACCAGGAGAAATCACTGCTTGTTGCAGCGAGTGTCACTTGATTGTTGCAGGTAGGCCAGGTCTAACTTAGCAGCGATGGTTGAATGGTTGGTTGGTTGGTTGGTGGTTTTCCCTTCATCCTTATCCAGAGAACCAAGAGACACCCACATATACTTACTCCAATTACTGGTGTGTGTTTTCTTAATGGACAATGTTAAAAAAAAAAACAACCAAAAACATACGTTCCATATGGTGGTTATTGATTTCAGCCATCTGGTAAGCTAGGGCTTGTTTCTGCCATGTTGGATCAGAAGCTCCTTTGAAAAGCCTTTCCTCCCATAAGAGACGCATTGGTCAGATGGGGACAGGGATGGATTTCATTACAGGGCGGGGACTGCAGCTAGAGGAAGCCAGAGCGGGACTCCAAGGGACTGTCTATAGCCCTGACCCTACAACAAAGACCAGAGTGAACCGTGAAAGTGCTGATTGACACAGGGGCACTGGGGGAAGGCGGTGCCCCTCACCCACTCATACAGCAGAGGAGGCCTTTGAGTAACTAGCAAAATCCGTTGTGAAGCAGTGTACAATGATAAGACACCTTGCAAATGTTCTGTATGTCTGACATGCGAGTGTCAAATTCATACTACTGAGGAAGGCCTGCTACCCCCAAAGATGAACACTCATTCTATTTTTAAAGGACGCTCTGTTTACTCTTCTTTCTCGACTTCTGAAGTGTTTTCATTCCCAGCCTCTTTCCTCTGTGCGCTCCCAGCCCAGAGGCAACATTTTTCTCCCCTCCAAAGTTTTTGTGAAAAGCATTTATTGTTTTCATGATAGAGCAGCGTGAGAAATTAATTTTTTTTCACAATGTTTCTCAAAGTGCCCAAAATAACAAACCCACTGATTATTTTTAAACTTGAGGGAAATCGAGTTCAGCAGACCTTTCCCACCCCTGTCAGACAGAGAAGACTGGCCCGGTGACGAAGCTACACGCAGGGGTTTCAGGAAGGTGGTCTCGCATCTCCTGTCACAGGTCTTCCAAGCCAACAACGATGCCACCGAGGTGGTTCTGAACAAGCTCCACACGCCGCTGCTGACCAGGTTCGTCAGGATCCGGCCCCAGACCTGGCACTCGGGCATCGCTCTGCGCCTGGAGCTCTTTGGCTGCCGGGTCACAGGTGAGGTGGTGGTCCGGGGGAAGGGGGTGGTCTGCTGAGGTCAGGGAGCTGGTGGTCCCCAGGCTCACTCACTAGCTCACTCTTTCAGCCACCTGCAAGCAGCATGATTGCACCATACAACCTTTCCAGAAGGCTTGGCCCAAGCGCTTGGGTGTCCTATACGTTTGTCTTGTCCTTCATTCAGTAGGCATGCTTGTTTGTGTGCAGGATCTATGTTACGCAGCTTGCTCTTTCTACTGCCTAGAACAACACAACACCGCTGCTCCACCACCATCCTCACAAGGGGGGGTTTGTTTGAGTCTGTGTTTGTAACCCCTGTGGTCACGCCCTCACTTGAGGGTCTTCCTCTTCCGGTGAACTTCCCCTCACCAAGCGTGACAGCCTTCTCTAAGAACAGTTCCCTCCTGATAATGCGTCCCAAGTAAGCAACATCAAGTCTCCATCCTTACTTCTGAGGAGCATTCTCGCTGTACGGTGTAGAAGACACATTTGTTCATTAGCATTCAGTAAACGTTAGCAACGATCTGGATGAATAAGTCTCAGCTAGCATTTATGGAGTGTTAGCCTAGCTATGCACCAGGTCCCAGTATGAGCCTGCAAGAGGGGTTGATGCTTATAATCCTCATAAGGAATCGATGATATAGGCATTCCTATTCTCTCCCACTTTACAGATATAGAAGCTGAGGCTTCAGGAAGCGAAGTTGCTCAGTCAGGGTAGAGCTAGGATTTGAATCTAGGCAGCTTGAATCGAGAACCTCTGTTCTCAAGTACTATTCTCTACTGCCTCTCCCGAACACCATCGATTCATGCACTCCCCCACACACTCCTTCGCTCCACAGACACTAAGTGGGACCAGCTGTGTGCCAGCAGAGCAGAGGGGGTCCTTGCTGTCCTGCAACTTGCAGGCAAGTGTAGTGGGCGAGACAGACGATAAACAAATACAGGCACTGGGTAATTACACACGACAACGTGTGTCTGAAGGACAGGGCCAGGGAGCTCTGAGAACATTGGCCGGGGAGACCTCTTTCCCTGTTGGTGGACAGGTTGAAGACGTCCCTTTGAGCGTGGGCTGAGTAGAAGGTGAGTCTGGTGGTGAGGGGAAGAGCATCATGGGTAACGGGAGCAGCCTGCGGGGAGGCCTGTGCAGTGCAGAGTAGCAGTCAAAGGCACCACTGTGGTCCCCAGGACAACTTTGACCCGCTGGGCTAATGGACCATCCAATAAGCAGTTCGATGCTCAGCTGAGCTGCTCTGCAAACAGTGTCCCTGGGAAGGTCAGTGGGGCCTGCTGTCACCAACCAGGGTGTGCCAAACGCACCCTCTGGGGAGTCCTTGGCATCTGTCGAGAGCTGTGAATATGAGTAGCTAACAGTCGGTTTACTGCAAGTGTCAGGCGCTGATGCGTGTGCTTTCATTTTGTAGCTATTGGAACCCTTGCTACAATACCACGGGATGGGGGCTGCTGTCCTCCCCACGTTAGACCCAGGGAAACTGAGGCATGGGGTGATGAAATAATTCACCCAAGGTGGCACAGCTCCTGAATGGCAGCACCGGGACACGTGCCCGGGCTGGCTCACTCCACAAGTGTGTGCTCCTAACCCCAGTAGCACGCCCCGCCCAGGGTTCAGGACAGACGTACAGAGCTGGATAATCAGGTTCTTTGGCAGCTGCCTCTCCTGGGGTGACCGCCACATCAGCAGGGCCATCGCTGACCTCTCGTGTCTTCTTCTCCTCTCCGCAGACGCGCCCTGCTCCAACATGCTGGGCATGCTCTCGGGCCTCATCCCCGACTCCCAGATCTCCGCCTCCTCCACCCGCGAGTACCTGTGGAGCCCCAGTGCCGCCCGCCTGGTCAGCAGCCGCTCGGGCTGGTTTCCGCGGAACCCCCAGGCCCAGCCGGGGGAGGAGTGGCTTCAGGTGGACCTGGGAGCCCCCAAGATGGTGAAGGGCGTCATCATCCAGGGAGCCCGCGGCGGGGACAGCATCACTGCCGTGGAAGCCAGGGCCTTTGTGCGCAAGTTCAAAGTCTCCTACAGCCTAAACGGCAAGGACTGGGAATACATCCAAGACCCCAGGATCCTGCAGCCAAAGGTGGGCCGGTCCTGGAGGAGATGTTCAGTGGGGTGGAGGGAGTCAGGGCGCTGATTTCCCTCCTAGAGACATCCCATCCAGCCTTGACAATGTAACCATCAGAGTCTAGCAACAAGTATCACTTGAGCGATTACTTGGTGCCAGCATTGTGTTAAATGCCCTTTATAGACTCTCTTTCTGTCTCTCCCAGGCAGATGGTCTTGTCATCCCCATTATCCTGGCAAGCCCGGGTAGAGTAGTGGATATGTGCTGGGCTGCTAACTGCCAGGTTCCTGGTTCAAAACTACTAACTGCTCCTTGGGAGGAAGACGAAGCGTTCTACTCCTGTAAGGAGAGGCAGTCTCTGAAACACTCAGGGGCAGGTCTCCCCTGCCCTACAGGATTGCTGTGAGTCTGCATGGATTCAACGGCAGTGAGTTTGTGCTGTGGATCTTATTTTTGAGGCAGTGAGACTGAGGCTGGCTCTCTCGCTCGGGGTCACACCGTTTGCCCCAGGGAGAGCCGGGAGTCCATCACCAGGGCCTTGCTGCCCTTCGACGCTGCCTCTTTATAAAGTTCTGCACCCTTCTGCCCTCTCTTGAGATACAGTTTCCCTGAGTTGGCCAGGCAGCCAAAGGGGATGTGGTTTTTGGAGACTCAACGATAGAACAGAGGGATTGACTTCCAAAAATAACTATGTTTTCCTGGATGCTGCTGCTCGCCTTTTATTTTCCTACTCATGACCGCTCAGATCTTTCCCGGCTCGCAGACAGAGGCCAGGAGAAACTGTGGGTCAGAAGTTAGGCCTGCACCAGCCCCCCTCCTGCTTGTCAGGGCTGACAGTCAGCCTCCCCACAGGCCCCTGGAGCCCCAGTGGGGGAGAGGAGAGCATGCCTCTGCCCCTCGCCTAGCCACTCTTCCAGATGGCCAGGCCTCTCTGTCCTCATTTCTAAGTGGCCCTGGACTAAGGCGAGCAGTCCACCCCCACCGCCAAAATGAAGGAAATGTCACATGCCTGAGTTCAGTCACCTTTGCTGAGCAAATGTTTCCATTCTGAAGGCGGTAGCGAGGGCTGGGCTGGAGGTTTGTGAGGCTGGTGGCAACTCACTGCTCACAATTCCTGCGGCTTGGAAAGGCTCGGGGCTTGGTAACCAGAGCCCTCTGCAGACACAGCAGAAGCTGTGCCACTGGCTTCCCCGGGGGGAGCTGACCCTCACTCTAGAGGCCTGGGAAAGGAGATGGTCTCCACTTGGGTCAGAGCCTGCCCTCCCTGTGATTATGGCTTTGAGGCCGCCTGCAAACTGAGATGGCCCTCCAGCATTCCTGGAAGCCCCCAGCCACCTCCAAACCTGTGTTCAATTAGCTCTTTGGCTCCAAGATGTGCCCTGGGTCTGCGTCCCTCACCTGGCTTCAACTCGGCCAGCTCCACTGTGGTCACACTGACGCACCGGGCTCTAGGCGAGGTTTCTTTTGACAGACAGTGACCTCCCATAAGCCTGGTGGAATAGTTGTTACGCATTGGGCTGCTAACTGCAAGCTCAGCAGTTCAAAACCACCAGCTTCTCCTCAGGAGAAAGACGAGACTTGGTATTCCCTTAGCGATAGTCTCGGGAATTAACATGGGGCAGTTCTAGTAGGCTCTGAGTGTGTGACCAAAGGACGTTGTCATTCACATAGACGAGGGGCGGTCATTCTCCTTCTGGGTGCTTGGTGAACGGGGGACTGTCAGGGGGCTGCACTTTCCCACAGGAGACTTCTCAGCAGCAGACCAAGAAGGAACTCTTCCTCTGTATCCTGAAGCCCTTCGGATGGTCAGACTCCTCGCCTGCAAAGTTCAGTCCAAGACTCATTCAGAAACTGTTGTTTCCCCGGTCCTTAGTTCCTGCCCGGGGCTAAAAGCGAGGATGTGGCAGTTACCGCTTCTGCCAACTCCCAGTTTTCCGCATCTCTGGGCCCCCTTCACCATTCTTCCCCAGGCATAGAAACCAGGGTCTGAAAATGGAGCACCTGGGTGGGTCCCCTGGGCCAACAGCCAGCCTTCTGGTGAGGGGAGGAGGGGAGAGATGTGGAGGAGAGGGGGTCTCCTATAAGAAGAGCTGAGCGGCCTGTCTCCCCTGCAGCTGTTTGAAGGGAACATGCACTACGACACCCCCGACATCCGGCGGTTCGACCCGGTCCCGGCACAGTACGTGCGTGTGTACCCCGAGAGGTGGTCGCCGGCCGGCATCGGGATGCGGCTGGAGGTGCTGGGCTGTGACTGGACAGGTAAAACCCCTTTCCTCGCTCGCACCATCTTTTGATTCCTGGCTTCCCAGGATGCCCTGGGAGGAGGGCCAGGGGGTTGAGGGGGCAGCCAGCCCTGGTGAGTGGGAACCCACTGGCGCCGGCCGTGTTTTCCTACCTGGGGCCCTCACCCCAGTGCGGTTTCCGAAGGGAGGTGCTTGGTCTTGGTGAAAGGATCGTGGCTGCTCCCCAAGCTGGGTCCCTCAAGAACAAATCATAACCACACACCACCCACCCAAATTCAATTAGACCCTGCCTCTTCAGGCTAGAGGGCTGTGGCTGTTGATTTAGGGAAGGGTGGAAGGCTAAAAAAAAGAAAAGAAAAGCCCTCGTGATAATAAAGTAATCGGTTTATGCCCGAGTCTGGTCTCCAGATGTCTGTCAGGGGCTAAGAGACTTCATTTTCATTGCAAGGCCTCATCTGCAAAAGGCATTCGTTTGCTCAGGAGGGACCCAGTGGCGGGGGAGCCGACAGGAATAGGACTTCTCCCCACTGAGCCCAGGCACCCGAGCATGCCCGGCCCCTCCTGATCCAGGCCCTGCCTCCACCACCGTAGCAGGGTGTCCCCGGAGCCCACTCCCTCCATGACATTGTCCTTCCCAGGCCCTGAGCCCCTGCCAGCAGGAGCAGCAGGCAGCCGTGTGGTGCTGCCCTCTCCTCCGGGCCCCCAGGTATGCCCATTTTCCTGTCGGTGGCCTCCCCGCCACCCGCCCACCCACCAGGACATCCTGAAGGCTCATTGAGGGCATGTCAGAGAAGGGCTTTTACTGCCGAGAGGAAAGTAAAAGTGCAGCCTGTTTGAGCAGCCCCACCAAGGGCTGCAGGCTGGGACTCGGCCCCAGTGAGATTCTCTCACCCTGGGTGTGAAGGCTGGCCCGACCGAGACAGGAAGACCCTGTGCGCCCCACGAGGCGGCGGGGAGGCCACCTGTTCCCTCACGGTACTGACAACCACCCCTCCGACAGGACCTCAAGCTGGTATCCTTTCGAGCTTCTCTGAGTCGGGGTGCTGCCAAAAGTCAGGGTACTGAGCCCCCAAGAACTTTCAGGCCAGTGGCTTCCAAGTGTTCTCGACCATAACCCGTAACTAAAAATCCACTGATGTCACGGCCCACTTTACTTACAGAGGCACACCCAGACACCCTTGTGCACATGTTGTCAGTCCCAACAGGATCAGACGCGGTGACCCGACCCGCAGGGCTTTCCCTGGTTGGCTTCTTGCCAGGCCTTTCTTCTCAGCTCCACCTGGTGTGGAAGCTCCGCTGAAACCTGACCACAGCATAGCAACACCTGTGCCTGCACCGCAGACAGGTGGAGGCTGCCCTTGAGGTGCATTGGCCAGGAATCAAACCGGGGTCTCCTGCATGGAAGGAGAGAATTCTACCACCAACCCTGTCTGAGATAGAGCTAAGTGCTGGCCACTGGAGACAGAGTGCCCGGTTCGAGGCCTGCCTCTGCCAGTCACTGACTGCACACCCTCAGACAGATGACTTAGAATCTCAGCAGCGTGGTTTTCCTAACTGAAGAACGAGGAAAAAGATGCTGGAATTGTCAGCAACTAATAACCACAGACTGTTGTTGTCCATGACACTGCTGGGTGAGTGAGCCAGCCAGCACAGGAGTTGGTTGTTGTGATAAAGATCACATAAAATAATGGATAGGAAATACTTGGGCTGCTCTCTAACATGTAGCAAATGTATGACGTGACAATCTAATGAAGCAACAAGTCCCCACACTAATGCTTCTTCCTACCATATAGGGTGTACACCAAAATATTGTCATCTCTGTTTAGGCTGATTTCACAACCTACTAATTAATAGCTTTGTGAGACAGTTTGGAAAATGCATACACACACACAGATTGAGGCTAACTTCTCTTTTACAGATGGGAAAACTGAGGCCAGGGGAGAGGACACTCCTTGCCCTGGGTCAGTCAGGCCAAGCCAAGTCCTCACCCTGCACCCACCTCCACCCCCTCATCTCTGCCTCTCTGCGCCAGGCCTCCCGCAGCCTGGCCTGCTTCTGGGGACAGTTGGACAGTGACGAATGGCCTCTTCCCCTTACTGCCTTGCCCCAACTCCGCTAATGGTCAGCAGCAGGTTTCTCATTTCAAAGCCCAGCCTGGCCGATCCCGGGAAGATCAGAGCTGAGGCGGTGCGTTCGGCTTTGCCCAGCCACTTTCCCTTTGAAGTCTCTGCCAGCTGGTTTCAATTGCTGAGAGCCTCGCTGGGATGGGCAGTTGGCCATGCTCACCCGGTCCAGACATGGTGAACACGGTGGCTGCCTGGCGCCCCCTCCCCTTCCTTTACTCGCCCCTCCCCTCCCCACCACACTGGCCCAGGATTCCACAAGCCCTCCACCAGCCGGCTCACCTACTTGACGCCCTGGCAGGGACAGAAACTTCTCCCGGCCAGGTGGTTTCTGTCTGCCTTCCTTTCAACATTTCAAATGGCCAGCAGCTTCTGTGACTCCTCCATGGTGCATTTCCTCATTCCGACTTTAGAAACAATCGCAGGGAGCAGAGTGGGCCAGGCTGAGTTGCTGCCGCTAAATAACGTGACAGGGTTGCCTCGCCTGTGTAGTTGGCATGCTTGTGTCTCAAATGATTATTCCTTGCCTTGCTGTCCACCCTCGGTTGTCTGTACAATTGAGTTTGAGACTCTGTGACACCGTGACAAATTTGAACTTAGAAATGAGGACGCTTCGAGGTTAGTTTGTTCTTGACTGTGGGCAAGAGGCAGACCTGGAAAAGGGGGGGAGGGGGAATTTGAAGGGTGATGTGCGTAATATTTAATAGCAGAAAGGTGGGAAGTCGACCGTGAAAAAGCTATTCAGCATATTGAGCTATTTCCTCTAGCTCCTGGCTGTATTAAATGGTATCCCGAAGGGTGCCTGACAACAGAGCCTAATCACAGAAGGGAGCGCTGGGGAGCTTGTAGAGAGATGAGGAGCCATGCCCCGCCTTCTCTGGAAACCAGCTTTGAGAGGAAGACACCACCCACCACCCACCACCCAGGGGCTTAACCACCCATCACTATCACCCCTGACTCTTGGCAGGCAGGCAGGCCCTCTTGGTAGCTGCATGAATGAATGGGGTGAGCAAGTAAGCCAGTCAATGAATGAGTGAGTGACTCACAGGAGACCCAGGCCAGAACCAACTGCCTGCAGGCCCAGCCCCACCCCTCTGACTGGATTTACACATTTGAATAGGTTGCCACCTTTTACAGGTCTGGAGATCTTATCCAGGGACTTCTGACTGTTTTTTAATTATTATTATTCACATAATTTTCTTGGGGGCTCTTACAGCTCTTATAACAGCAGTTCTCAACCTGTGGGTCCGACCCCTTTGGGGGTCAAACGACCCTTTCACAGGGGTCACCCGATTCATAACAGTAGCAAAATTATAGTTATGAAGTAGCAACGAAAATAATTTTATGGTGGGGGGAGTCTCCACAACATGAACTGTATTAAAGGGTCATGGCATTAGGAAGGTTGAGAACCGCTGTCTTATAACAATCCATACATCAATTGTATTTGTGCATATGTGTGCATATGTTCTCATTACTATTTTCTAAACATTTACATTCTATTTGAGCCCTTGGTATCAGCTCCTCTTTTTACTCTCCCTCCCCGCCCTCCCACCCTCATGACCCCTTGATAAATTATAAATTATTATTATTTTCATATCTTACACTGACTGCTGTTTCTCTTCCCCTATAGTTTCTTCCTCCCTGGTCTCCCCACCTTCCCTCTACCCTCCTGGTATTGATACTCCCATTTCTGTTGCTAAGGAGTTTATCTGACCTGCACTCCATATGTCCTGTGCTCTTATCTGTACCTGTGCACATGCTCCGGCCTAGCCCACAGTGAAAGGCAAGATTGGAGTCATGATAGTGGGGGGTGAGGAAGCCTCAAGGAACCAGAGGAATAGCGTGTGTTTTATTGGTGCCATACTTCACCCTGGTTGACTCATACCTTCCTTGCGACTATTCTGTGAGGGGATGTCCCATTGTCTACAGATGGGTTTTGGGTCTCTGATCCCAGCCCCCTCATCCTCAACAATATGGTTTTTTGTTGGTTGGTTGGTCTGCTGATGCCTGTTAGCTGATCCCATCTATATTTCATGATCGCACAGGTTGATGTGCTTCTTCTGTGTAGGCTTATTGCTTCTCTGCTAGATGGGCACATGTTTATCTTCAAGCCTTTAAGTACCCAGATGCTACATCTTTTGATAGCCGGGCACCGTCAGCTTTCTTCACCACATTTGCTTGTGCACTCATTTTGTCTTTAGTGATTGTGCAGCATCACAGAATGCCAGCCTGTTAAAACAAAGTGTTCTTGCATTGAGGGAGGGCTTGAGCAGAGGCCCAAAGGACTTTTGTAAAATGTGTGGGGGGTTTTAATACCAAAGCTCTGGCCCCAGTAAGCCATATCCACTCAGGGCCTCAGTCTACTGGAGCCGTTTAGAGTGGTCGTCTAATTTAAGCCAAGTGTGTGCACTCCGCTCCACTGCCATCTTCATCCATCCCCCCCTCTCCTCCCAGCCCCTAGACCACTTCCCTCCAAGTGAGCAGTTGGGGTGCAGGATGGGCTTGCACCTGCCGCACCCTGGCCCATAAACCCAGCCCCAGATCCGTTGAATGAAGCCATGCCTGAGCCTCTGTAAGTTGAGAGGCACTTCCATACAGTTCTGCACACACACAAGCAACTCTGCGGTTATGGTGGCTCCTAAGGGGTCCCGCTTTGCTTATGGGCCTCGGCAACGGTGCATGTCTTACAGTAGGCGAGCCCCAAAGCTTGGAAGAGTTTGTAGGGGTGGGCTTTGGTTCAGAAAAAGTCTGTCTGATTCCAAACCCAAACACCAAACCCACTGCCACCAAGTTAGTTCTGATTCATAGTCACCCTGGTCTCCGAGGTTGTTGCGTGGCTGGTGGGTTTGAACCACCGACAGGACCACCCGGTCTCCTGTCTGACTTGAGGCGCCAGCCTGTGGAAGCAGGGTGAGCCGGCAAGGCAACCTCGTACCACTCAAGGATCCATCCACAGATGCCTCTTCCCCCCGCACCTGAAGCTCACTTCCTGAAGCACTGGCATTTCACTTTCCATCACCTGCTCTTGGGTCTTAAGCCAAATACTCGGAGCTGTGCAGCGGGTCAGCATGGCCCACACCTGGGGCTGAGTCGGCGGCTCAGTGCGGGCCTTGGCCAGCTGGGGCAGTGTGTTGGCTGTCTCCGCAGCTCGGGCTCACTCCCACGATGGTTGCAGGGTTTTGTTTTCCGGTTCTCCTCCTCCTCTTCTTTTTCTCCTCCGTGCAAGTGTAGAGAGGAAACGTACTTGGGGGCAGCTGCAGCACTCAGCTCTCTCTTCCTCACGTTTATAGACTCAAGGCCCACCGTAGAGACGCTGGGACCCACCGTGAAGAGCGAAGAGACCACCACCCCGTATCCCATCGACGAAGAGGCCACGGAATGTGGGGACAACTGCAGCTTTGAGGATGGTAAGGATGGGCCAAAGGTTTCCTTACAGCCGAAAGGGCATGGGTGCCGGCCAACCCAAATGGAGGGAGGCCAGCCTCCGGTCTGGCCAGAGGGTCAGGGGGCTGCAGAGAAGGGGCGAGGGAGGTGCGGGTACTTGGGGGTTGTGGATATTTCCAGTGCCCACTGTGATGGCTTTGAGCCATGGTGACCTTGCGTGTGTCAGAGGAGAGCGTTGCCAACAGCAAGGGTTTTGGGAGCAGGTCGCCAGGCCTTGCTTTCCGAGGTGCCTCCGGGTGAGCTTGAAACCCCAACCTTTCGGTCTCCCGGGAACTATTTGTCGTTGCTGATGTAGAGGTCGGGCCGGCCTCCACGTCATCACGGCAGCCCCGTGCCCAACAGAACGAAGCCCTACTCAGGTCTGCCTCGTCCCCAGGAGCCGTTGGCATCCATACGGTTTCCAGGGCCTGATTTTTCTAAAGCAGATCACCAACCAGGTCATTCTTCCAAGTCCGCCTTAGTCTGGAAACTCCACTGAAACCTGGTGGACTCCACCCACAGCAACACAGGCCTCCTATTGGCCGGAAATAGAGCCCAGGTCTCCCACACGGAAGGGGAGCATCCTTCCCCTGGAACACAGCCCACGTGATCGTCATCAGATGCTGTGAAAAGCAGGGCAGCCCTTCAGACGTGAGCTCCCTGGTCATCAGCTGAGAGCAGGACCCATCCACAGTGTGCTCTTGAGCAGAGACGTTTGAATGCCCTCCTTCCCTGGAATCCACACTCATGAGAGTTTTTCCTGCTAAGCTGGGTGCAGTGACAGCCCAGTGACAATCTGGGATCCCCTGGGTGACTTCGTCCACGGGGCCGGAGAGGAGGGTTGACTCAGCAGGGAACCATTACTCCAGCGCTTTTCCCTGCGTCTGCCACCCCCCCAGGTGTAAGGAAGTGTGGCCATTAATGGCTCTGGGAGATGGTGCAAGTGCAGGTCAGGGGAGCAGGCCGAAATGTGAAACAGCACCCTCCCTTGCCTTCACCATGAGGGGCTCCTCGCTTTCCGGCCTTTCTCTTCCCACCGGAAATCCCTGGCACTGTCGTTTCAGCTCCTTGGCATTGGCAGGGCCCACAACTCGGTCACTTATGCTTTAAATCAGACGGCTAAGGTCACCAAGTAGAAGGATATTCCTCACAGTCCACAAATTTGGGGACGCCTGGCCTTTTTGGCTGCAATGGGGAGCTTGACAGCCTCAGTGTACAGTAAATCACTGATGATGAATTGTTCATTAAAGAACGTGAGGGCACCTTGGCGCTGAGAGCGGGGAGGTGATGGGGACAGAAAAAGGTGGCACCCTCTCGGTAGGTGGATGGAGACACCCATCACCCCTGCTGGGCTCAGCCACTTGACGGACAAAGCCCTGAGCTGACGTAGTGGCCGTCTCCACCACGCGACTGCAGAGAACGGGAGGGAAGCCAAAAATAAATGCTGGAGTTGTGTGACTGAAAAATGATAATCAAATGCATATGCTTTGGGGAATGTGCTTTTTGTGTGTTGTGTGGGCGGGTGGGTGGGTGGGTGCGGGGATGCTCTTGGTCAGGGTTAGTTGAATGCAGAATTCTGACATTTTAATGAACTTGTTTATGTTTTATGAAGAGAAGGAGACCTTGGAGAATCTTCCAAGGCATGTTTTAGATCCTTTGAGAGCCAAAAATGGAAGTCGAGAGGAGTTACTATATGGTATTGGATTAGCGGCGTTAGCTTGTTTGGAGTTAGGGGTGTGGGCTCCTATCTAAATGACAACCCAAGGGAAAATTAAAGCGTTCTGCTGCAGGATTTCAGAAGTTTGTTTTTAATAGAATTGTCCCGTTTGTAGTGGTTTCTTTCCTTTGAGGTTTCTCTGGCAGCTCCTCCCTCCTCTCCTTTGCAAGCCATCTTCCTGTGGAATCCGGGTTCTGTGATGGCGTGTGCATGTAAACACGGGGACAGAATTATGGCCTATTGAATTACTCTGTATTTCTGGGCAGAAAAATAGAAAGTGGGAGGGATAGTGAGGGAAGGGTTGGCTGTTCCCAAGCCACAGGTTGAGGCTTCCGTAATAGATCCCATGTGCCTTTTCTCCACCAAAGCTGACTTTGGCCAAGGGTGGACAGATGTGCCTTGTTTTCTGTTGGGGGGGGCGGGAATAGGGCATGATGGCGGGCTGCCCCTGTGCCCTCAGAGGCGAGCCTTCTCTCCATGCTGGTGAGCAGTTTGTTGCTGCCAGTCTGCTGTTCCAGTCGCCTTCCCCTCAGAAATTCCTCCCTGGGAACCTTGGGAAGGGAAGTGAGAATGCTCAAGGCTGGGCTTCCTCCCTGCTGCCGGCATCAGCTAGCACTTCCCGGCTGCCTCCCCGCGTTTCCAGGCAAGCATCCAGACTTGGGTTGCCATTTTCTTGCTTTCTGGGAATCCCACCCCCAGCCTGACCCCCAGCGCCTGCTTCCCGTAATCACGTAGTTGGCAGCAGCTCCCACCGGACCATGAGAGCTGTACAGAAGGAATCTCAAGAGAAAGTCAGTTTTCTGACTTAGGCAGGTGCAAGCCCAGGGCTGAGAGGAGAAGCCATTGGGTCGTTGCCCTGGCTGTTAGTTGTCCTCATGGTTGTTAGCTGCCAGCAAGTCGATTCTGACTCATGGTGACCGCTGTGTGTCCCAGTTGGGCTGCTGCACTGACCTCTTGGAAGTAGCTTGCCAGGCTTGTCTGCCGAGGCTCCTCCGAATGAGCTTGAACCACCCATGCTCAGCTCATAGTAAGAAACCATCTGCATCCTTCAGAGGCCCCGGCCGGGATGCGGTCACTTACTTCTTCAAGGCTTCCGTGGGGAGAGCACGCTCTACTGGCCTTCAGTGTGTTCTGAAATGCTTTCCATTCTGGTCAGGATGGACCAGGCGGCCGGCTACTTGGCATAGTGGATTGCATGTTGAGCTGCTACACCACAAGGTCAGCGGTTCAAAACTCCGAGGGAGAAAGACAGGGCTTTCTATCTCCGTGAAGAGTCACTGTTTCGGAGACCCACAGTGGCAGCCCTACCCTGTCCTATAGGGCCTTCGCTCTGTATCGAAATTGACTGTGTCAAAATAGCGGTGAAGGTGGGGTCTGGGTGCCACTCTGTCCCCATCCTTGGAAATGAGCCGTATCAGGATGGGGTGAAGGATAAGCAGCGAACAAGCCTGCCTTGTGTCTGGCCTTGAAGCTTCTCTGGATGCTAGTGGGTGACCCATCACTTCTGAGAGCATGTTGGCAGGAGATGAGATAAAAGGTCTATTGGGAACCAGGCGTCCACTGGGACGCTGGGGAGACATCCCTCACCGGCATTGAGGGAATGGCGATTTTTACATTTGCCTGCTCTCCAGGTGGACAGAAGAGGCTGATTAGAGCCTGAAGCCATTTGGTGGCCTCATTTATAATTGCTTAGTATGGGACCGGCTGGCAGATTTGGCTTTCGTGCCTGGGAAGGATGAGACCAAAGGCTGACCCGAAATCGAGCCATCGCCAAGAGGAATCAAATGAATGAGCAGAGGGGGCCACTCCATGCTCTGCTCGCCACTTAAGCCTTGCCAGCCACGTCCGTAGCACCACTGTGACTGGTCTCCAGACCCATTTCATTTGCCTGCCTTTTGGGTGCTATATAATTTTTTCCTCTTGCAGACAAAGATTTGCAGCTCCCTTCAGGATTCAACTGCAACTTCGATTTCCTTGAGGAGACCTGCGGTTGGATATACGACCATGCCAAGTGGCTCAGGAGCACCTGGACGAGCAGCACCAGCCCAAATGACCAGACATTTCCAGGTAAGCCGGCTGTGCGCTGAGAGAGGAATGAGTTAAGGCCGGCATGCCCCATGTTTTTCAGCCCCAGATTCCCTTAAAAGCTTCATAACTTCTCAACCACAGCAATTCTCTGCTCTTTGCCCACAAACCACCGTGGTCTTGCTCAGGACGTCACCCCGCAGTATAGTGAATTGGTGGTTCCTATCGCTGTCCTGTGATTACAGCAGAACCCGGGAGCCAGGGGGAGGCCAAGAGGAAAGGAAGGACAGGTTGGGACAGTCCAGGAGCAGAGACAAGTCCATGTCACCTCGTTGCCGCAGCCCGCTTTGGCTGCCCGGATCCCAGAGCCACTTGTCAACCCCCAAATGGGCTTGTTCTTTACATGACTGCCTGGAAAATCGTTGGCCTCGACTCATTGGGCTGACGCTGCATCCAGAGTATCACAGCTCATGTAGAAAACCAAGTCAAGGGACTAAGAAGTTGCCCCGCCCCCACCCCACCGCGGAGGTGTCTACCGTTGCTGCCAGGAACGGCTGTCAGTAAAATGCTCCTGCACGTCCTCGAAATAGTAAACACACCTTTTCTGTTTCCGAGATCCAGGTTTCAGAAGCCTCTGTTGACCCTATTGATGGAGGGGAATTACCTTTAGCCCTTCTCACCAGTATAAACAAGAACTGTCTGCTCTCTCCTCCAGGAGAGGAGTGGAAACTGCTTTGTAATGTCTGCCACTGTCAGTGGTGTACATACTCTAAACTAGTGTAGGGGGAGTCCAGTCAGGCTCAGGGTTGCCTGGTATGCGTCAGAGTAGATCTGTGCTCCATAGGGTTATCAAAGGCTAATTTGGGAGAAGTAGATCACTAGGCTGTGGGTAGACTTGAACTTTCAGCCTTTCGTTAGCAGTCAAGCAAAATAGCCATTGACACCACCCAGCGACTCCTACCCTGGCTGACTGAACAGCCCACCTGAGGGCATTCGAGGTAGGCTAGAGAAGAGCAATGATGTGGTCTTCTCGTTTTTTCCACCATAGAGCTCCGATAGACACAACCTCAGGGGTACGAGAGACGCAAGCTCAGGAGCTGAGGCATGAACACACGGTCCTCAAGTAATTAGAAACTTGCGTCTTGAGTATTTGTTACTTGCGGTTTTTGTTACAAACATGATTTGTAAGTTTAGATACTCTAATCTTTAATAACCGTACTCAACCACCGGCTTGCGACATGCCAGAAAACCAACTGCCTAGTCCTTGCAACATGCCAGAAAACCAACTGCCTAGTCCTTGCAAGCCGGTACAAGTCCGTTCCCATGCACCACTGACTAGCCTGACTCGGCTTTTCCTGGACTCCAGCCTGGGCCAGGGGACCCCAGGAGTATTTGAAAAGACAGGAGTTAAGTCTAGAAACGGGATTCAAGGGGAAAGGGTGAGAAGAGGACAGTGGGAAGGAAGAGAAAGCTCCCCCACTCCCTGTGGGGCTCTGGAGAGCTGCCTCCCACCCCAGCGAGGGCCATGTCCCCTGGCCAGGGGGCAACCGGAGGGCAGGCGCTAAGAGAGCACCTCAGGCCAGCTTCCTGACACACTCCGGCACTTGCTGTCCCCGAGGGTCACAGCATCTGCTCTGGAGAAAAAAACATTTCCATATTTCAAGTGTTTATCTCTTCAACATTTGAGTGCTCAGAGAGATTAATATCGGCGATCACCACGGCCCCCGGCAGCAGGAGCGAGCACTTACCCTCGTCCCAGCCTTCCTCCCCCTCCCCCTACTCATTCACTGCAATTGGGTTTAATTAATATAATGAGCCTCCTGCACATTGGGGGGAGGGGGCGAATACTTATTTTTATAAACCAGCCTGGATTTTTCATTTCATTTCCTCTCCTGTGAGACTTGGTCCAATTAATTGGTTGTCTTTCCCAACCCCCCACCTTTTAACCAAGCGTAAAGACTTGCGGGGTACGTGTGAGAGAGTGTGTGTGTGTGTGTATCTCCCCTTTGTACACGTTGGTGCGTGTGTGTTTCTGCTGAAAGGTGTTTGTGGTCTGGTTTGTGTGTTTTGCGTGTCTGCATAGATGTGCTTGTAAAGATGTACAAGCATGTGTTATGTGTGTGTGAACCTGTGTGCTTGTGGTGTTTACATGGGTGTGATACGTGCCTGTCTCTGGGGAAATTGGACAAGGGGACAGCTTGGCAGAAGTGCTTTTGGATAAAGGAAGTGGGTGTTATTGCTCTTCTGCACAGCCCCCTTCAGCTTCTTTCTCATCCTTCTAGTTTCCTCCCAGGCACTTATCCCTTGAGCAGATTGTCTTTAAGAAGGTCTGAGGCCAGCCCCGGCCCTAGCCTGTAGGCCACCAATTAGCAAGTGACAGTTCTGAGAGAGCTTAAGTTACTCTCCGCTTGACCCTGGCCTTTGCCTCCTCTGTCCCTTGCCCATTCCCCTCCGCCTCCTCCCTGCCCAGTCCCACCCTCACCTGGATGCTCTCGCCCCGACCCTCGCTACTGGTCGGGAATTCTAGTCTCTGTCCTCACTCCACTTGATTCATTGCACACTGCGGTTTGGAAGTGTTTTTCAGAGCAAGCTCCCCAAGTGGGCAGGATTCTAGTCTTGGGGGTGGACAGAAAGCAAACTAGGGTCATAAGGAACTGCTAACTCTGACGGTGTTCCACTCTTAAGATACCAAGAAAGAAAATAAGGCTCTTCCTCTTGCAGGAGGAGTCCCCGCAGTTTGGGGAGGCGGTACTTGTTCCGCGCCTCCACACAACAAAATCACAATCTTGTCCCCACTCCACCGCTTCCCTCCATCTCCCCCTGGTTTTTAAAACGCCTTTCTCTCCTCACTTTCCCTTCTCTGTACAAAACTTGATGTTGGCCTCAAGCAGAAGATAGGAAGCCCTTTCTATTCGGGGTGGTCCTTTCTCCTTCTTCTTCAAATAAAACCCCGGGGCTCTGAGCGAGCAGCCGCGAGAAAGGAAACAGCTGTGCTTGGTTAGGGGCAGGGCAAGTGCGAATGGTTCAAAGTGGACACTCCTTCCAAGTCAAACCTGCCAGCCCGAAAGGCACCCACCCTTGGCTCGTCCACAGAAAGGGAACTGTTCTCCTCCTTTGAGAGAAGTGTGCCCTGTGTTTTATCCCCTTATTAGATAGGCAAACACACGTAATTCAATTGAAGACGGGAGGTGCAGGCACCCAGTGCAGGGCAGGCAGGGGAGTCCAGCAGAAAGCCAGGAGCCATGTTGAGATGCCTGGCGCCGTCTACTGGATGAGGAGAGTGTGGAGAGGGCTGACATTCCTTAGATAGTTTCAGATTCGGTTGTTTTGCCTTTTTTTTTTCCTTCTTCAACTTTTCCTTTTAAGTTAAGCAATTAGTTCTGTTCTTTTGGCTGGTGGTCCTGGTTGCTCAAGGCTGACAGGACACCCACTGGTTTTAGTCCACTGTTTGTTTTCAAGAGCGTTTTGTCAGGCCACTTAGAATTTTCCTTTTCTTTTTTTCAGCTCTTTGTGACTTAGCTGCCTACAGTCCATTCGCACTGGCCCCTGGGGACCCATTTCCAAAATCAGTGGCCCCTGGTGGTGGCAGAGGAGCCCGGCCCATGTTCTCTGAGAAGCCTCTGCCTTCTCCTCCATAGCTCCAGTGGCACAGCAAGTGGCCCCTGGGTTTCACAGCCCTCAGCAGAAGTCTGCATCGTGTATCCAGACACTGATTGCTGAGGGAAGACCAGACCCAGGTCTTTAAGAAGTGATGCCAGAGCTCCAAGAGGGGAGGCGGTGAGGTCCCGTGCCTAGTGCTTCACCGCGCCATCATGCAGCAGCCACTACTTCAAGGCACGTGGCTGCTTAAATGTCAGTTAACTAGAATGCTGCTCTCCCACGGCACTAGCCATGCCTGCAGGGCCCATGAGCCACATGGCTCTGGGCAGCACAGTGCTGAAACCTTCCTGTACTCCCAGAACGTTGTACGGGAAGGTGCTGCTCTAGCACCTCAGACATCTACGCAGGGGAGGCTGCCCCTCAGGGGTCGGGTGCAAACCAAGCAGCAAGTCGTTAGAGGGATGCCTTGTCTCTACGATGCCACAGGCGGTGTGTTCAGTTGGTGGTGTTTGTATCATTGTGTTTTGTGTTCCCACAGCCAGCGAGTAGCTATAATCCAATAAGCAAGTAAAGGAGTATTTTTTAAAAACACCCTAAATAAGTCCTAAGTAATGGCAGTAATCATAATCATTTTACTATCACGATTATCCTCTAACGACGGTTGCTGTGATCTGGAATAAGACAAGAAGGACACAGGTGTGGTCAGCTTCAGAATCCTCTGTCGGGTGGTCTTCCTAAACGGACACAGCCTTATTCATTGGCTGGCTGTGTGACGTCTGCTTAGATTATTTTTTCTCTTCAATGACTTGAAACCCCGGGAAGGAAGAGCTACAGAGAAAGCCAGGGAAGCCCACCTGCACCATGATGAGAGGACCGCGCTTTGGCTGCCCAGTCGTCACGTGCTTACGGGACTGAGCGAGCTGAACTCTGTCTCTAAGTTCACAAACAAGCTCAAGCAGGAGCATGTCAAGACCCTAATGTTCTGAGATCTGAAAATTTCATGAGCGGTGATTCTTCCATCAGATGTAAGTGGCAAGCTGATGGGCTCCTCGTTCCCCTTATTTCGATGCAAGTTGAGCCACCAAGTATGGTCCATTAAAGCAGCATCCAGGATGGTGATGCATTGTGGGTCACGTACAAGAGAAGATTAAGTGTGGGTGGATATGGATGGGAAGATGATTGCAGGGAAATCAAGGGAAGTTAAGTGATGAGTGCACTTGCTTGTGATGGTCCTGATTTTTGACAGTGAGCTAGCAGTGACTAAGTTAAAAAGCAACTGCCTGAGCTGAGAAGAGCTTCCTGGTAGGTGGGGCTGGTGGCGGCAGGAAGCCCAGCCACTGACTTAGCTTTCATCTGAATTGCCTTCAGAAAGAGATTGCTGTGCCTCGAGTGGGGCCTAGCCACTACAAAGACAGGAACTTTTAGGGCTGGGGACCATGGTT